TCCCTATTTTCGGCCAGAGGCGTGGCCGAATAGCCGAATATTTGGCCTGATTAAACACGTACGAAAATTGGCACGAAAAGTACCACTTATGAACTTTTAGCTATGATAAATAGTTTTGTACAAAGAAACAAATAATCTCAGTACAGAGTACTAAAAAAACTGACCCCAAAAGTACGTGGAATTACATCTATTTGACAAATTTTGTTGAAATATCCCCTAGTTCGCCACTGCACAGGACTTGACACAGGAGATAATAAAAATCGGTTCTCACTACTCAAAGCATATTGAGAGAAAAACGCCTTGAATTGGAGAATAGCAAAACCAACCACTGAAATAATTGCTCCTTACGTACAATTTAGGCGCTATTTATTAAATTGAATGTTCATGCGTCATCACCCACCCTTAGAGATGGATGATTTTCTCCAAAATAAAACAGGACCACTATGGAGGTACCCTCTTTCCAACAAAAAAGAATCATAAAAATCTGTTCACAAATACCGGAGTTATCGCGTAACATACATACAAAAAAAACATAAAGTCGAATTGAGAACCTCCTCCTTTTTTGACGTCGGTTAAAAAGTACTTTAATTTTCAAATTTATATTTTAAGTTTATGATTTTATGACGTAATGAAGAAAGTAATTGTTTATTTCACTTCAGCTTGATTAACTTTTGGAAACATAATTTTATTTCTGATATGATATGATGATGTTCATTTTAACTTTTGACCTCTTAGAAAAATAGCTTGGAATGTGACCTTTGATCGTTTAGATAAAAAAGCGAAAAATCGAGATTTTCGCGAACTTACTATTAGGTATGTTCAGCATTTATAAAAGTTACATGATAATTTACTGATTGTAATGTGAATTTCTTTCTTATTTCTTCCACCCAGTTTTTAACAATATTTATTATATATATACATATATTGGCTAAATAAGCAAATTACCTAATAGTAACCGAATATTCGTTGCAACTCTAATTTGTAACTTTAAGTACGTAATAAGAACTATTCAATATAGTGCCATCTAGTGCTGAATAACGGAACTTCAAATGCAAATAGTTCATATACTGTTTGTAGAAACAGATATATTATGATCACAGAACAATAAATACTGTAAAAGTACTTAGTGGGCATGGTACGTGTTCCAACAGTAACGCGGAGTTCCACGTACTTGAGCTCAGTCCGCCATTTTCGCGGCGCAATAATTATTAGTAAGTTTAAAGGAAAACGGGAGCAGATCCCCAGCAGTCGAGCTGTGACATATGCGAATTGGATCTGTTACAGCTTATAATTTTGATCATTAATTTCTTCTGTATAAGTTTTAATAATAATAACGCATATATATGTACTGTACGCAATAAATGTTTCTTTTTTTGTTATAAACTTTAGCAAAAAAGTTTGTCTAGTAAATGTTATAATCACTTGCTTAGTTGTGAAATTAGAATACCTCACTGACAGCGAAAGTGAGTTTAATTTACAAGGTAGCTGTAGCAGCTGTCAAACTCTGGACTGCAATTTGGATATCGACTGTGACGAGTAAAGACATGTGACACTATTGGTCAATACATGTTTTAAGTAGGTAGTCACCAGCAATTCTGCTATGTAAACCCACATACTCTTTACGTGCGGGGTTAAATTTTTTTTTATTCATTTAAAACTATTTCCATTTTAATTAATTACATAACTCTGAAGTAGTGAATCTTTACATTTTAAGGGTCGTATTGTAGAACTCTATTCAATGCTCAAGTCAGGATTACAATTGAAACACAAGCACTGGAAATACGACCCTAATGGCAGGGACTTGAATATGATTTCGAGTGCTTTAAACCATACTCAAATCCTGACTTGAGCATTGAGTAGAGTTCTGGAATACGACCCTTAGATAACTCCCGAGTGAGACGCTCAAGGTCGCTTGACAATGCCATTGCAGTACAATAAAGGAAACAGGTTCTAAACATTTAAAAGAACAAAAATAACCAAAAAAAGAACATGCAGATTTTAAATTGTTTGTTACAATTTATTTAAGTAATTATATTTATTGATTTCTATGACCGTTGGACACTGTCGCCTTCCCATTACTGTGAATGAAATATCGTTTTATTAAGGTTTTCAATTGTTTTTTTTTTTTGTTGTGACGAAGGAGGCAGTACGCTCACCTTCCTTCTTTTCCCGCTGTAGTGAGCCTTGGGGACAGGAGACGGGGGACCCTATCACCAAGTCTGAGGGTGCCCTTATGTTAATCCCGGGGCACTCTCTGAAGGCTGGGTTCCGCTCACGCGGACCATCCAAGGAGTTTGTGTGGTATGCATAAGCGAATCTAGTGGCGCCTCCTTATGGCGGTGGGGGTTAGTAGCTGGGTTTTAGTGTGTATACGGGCTACGGCTCGGTAGTCACATATAAGAAAAAAAGGAAGAAACTTAACCGGTCACAGTTCCCCCGAGCCGAGCGGTATGCGTAACGCATTTTCCAGCGAAAAAAGAAAGGTCGGCTGATTTGTTCAGGGGGTTTTCCCTTTATATGTGTGGTCATGCACACCGTGATGTGATATGACCACACATATCATGATGAAATTTATTTCAGTTTTTTGTGAAGATATTCACTAGTTTATTACAATTATTAATACAAAGATCAAACACAAAGAAGCATCCCTTCGACCTGGCAGGATTCGAACCTGCGTCTGTGCCAAATCAAGGCCACTATATTTCTATTTAAAATAACATTAATTACTCATTAATAATGTAATAAGCAAGTTGTCAAAAATACAACCAAAATAAAGAGTCAAAGCAAATAATGTTTATTTCATAGGTAAGCAAATTACACTTGAAATCGTCATACAGATTAAACCCTATTGCTCGTTCAAAGTAATATAGGTATACTTATATACTTTTTAGTCGATTGAAGGCATCCGGTCTGCATCAAGTGCAAAACGCCGATTGATAGAATAGAAATCCGACAACAGCCGAAAGACGATGATTGCCAAAAGATGTGCGGCAGTTTAAAAAAAATAAAAGTAAGGAAACTTATGATTTTTTTATGATACTAAGTGACCGGCTGTCCATAACAGCTGAAGTGGCGCTCAGATATTTAAATGTCAAAGATCTGAGGGGCACTACCACTGCGACCGTCACCCTGAGACGTAAGTTGAAAAGTCCCATGTGCCTGTAATTTCGCCAGCACCCTCATCCTTCAAAACCGAAACGCAGTACATTATTTCTTAGCGGCAGGAACAGGTAAGGTGGCTGTACTTCCTTGGACAAACAATTTACAACGAGCTGTAGTGCCGCGCTTAGTTAAGATCTATTCAAAATACAACATCAATTCATTCAATGTATATTTTACATTAATGAAGTCATAAGTACAATTACAGTGAATAATTGCTTTAGCACTTCAAAATACTCATGATTCTAGAGTTATGTCTTAATGCAACACAGACAAGGTACTCTCAGTTTGTACACTTACAGCGATTATAAAAGCGTAGAATTAAATATTAGGTAGTATTTTATTACAGTAGGGGAGACCGGGGCTGGTAGTTCCAGGGGTAAGTTGTTCTCACAGCAATAACTTTGTAACGAAAATATGTAGCAATATATGTGAAGCGCGTCGTTAAAGCGTCAGGTGATGCGTCTTGTCGGCAGCCATTTCAGTTACTCCGGCGACGACGTGTGGCTATGTGGGTGGAGCTGTCAAAATATCACGTAAGTAAATATTTTCTTATTTAAATTTTTTGGTATATCTTTGTTTATTATGGGCCGATTCATACGTAACTTTTCTAAATTGTAGTGACATTAGTAAGGAATCTTACTGTTTGAGTATTTTTTTGATTGATTCTATTACTTTGCCGGTATGTCAGTCTTCGTATAAAAAACTACAAATGGGCTCATGTCAAATATTTAAATAAGATGATAGAGTTACTAATGTGTCTCTCAACTGTGATTCAGATGAAGAAATGAGCGATGAATAGTATTACTGATGAATAAAAATGTAATTGTTTTTTTTTTAAGTTACTTGTGCATAATATAAAGATTACATACAAACAATTATAAAAAAAGGTGGTTTTATTTAAGGAAATCTTTGTTATTCTGTCATAATCTAGGCGGAATAATTTGCCTCAAAGGCGGAACAACGCGCCCCAAAGCGGGGCTAAATGTTCCGCTCCGAAATTTGTCAAAAATTTGCCTCTATGAAAAAGACTATTGAGATATTAGTAGAAGTGACTAATTAATAGTACATTAGAAAAAGCGATAAACATTTGTTCAATATTTCCACATGTTGAAAATCAAATCTTTCATTTTCAGTATGAAACTTCAACTTATTTGAAAATCGAAACGTTCAGCCCCGCTCTCCCCTAATCGGTTCTTTACAATGCTGCACTTCATTTTGCATGTCCTAAATTTCTGTACTAACATAGCAAAAGGCCGCCTATTGCATTATTAACTTACAATTTTTGTAGTTGTGTTACTGTTCTGTATTGCCACTGTAATTTAATGTGCGGTAAAGAATATTTCATTCACTCATTCATGCCACAAATACTTTTTTCTCAATAAACTTGAATTACTGTGAATTAATACTCTTTGATCAAAGAGTGCGTGCTTAAAAGAGCCACAACACACCTGCGGATAGGTAGCAATTAATAACAATTACACTTCCATATGCCAATAATGATAACGATAATGCAATAATAGACGCACTGAACATTTGACTTCACATCATATGTGGATTATCCTTTGACCATTTCATGTTTAACCTTCTTTCGATCTGCATAACTTGTCTTAATTTTTATAATACTTTCATAATGTGAGAAAACTTAAGCAACGTAATTTTGATATTTGAAATTTATTCTTCTTAAAATCTTTTTGGAAAAGTTTGAAAAATCGGAAAAGTAAATTTTTTTCTTGTCAACTTGAATTATCTTGTCAGCAAAGTCAATTCAAGTAAATATTACAAAGAAGAACACTTGGTAGTTCATTTTGTTTGCCGTATCCTTTTAAAATCGTCAAGATCCAGCACAACAATGGCTGTCGCTCTTCCTATGGAATCAAACCCCGAAACCATGAGTAAGTATCTGCACTATCTAGGAGTCTCTGACAAATGGCGTATGGTGGACGTCATCGGGTTGGAAGGTGAAGCGCTGTCCTGGGTACCGCGGCCCGTACTTGCTGTGATCCTCCTGTTCCCTATGTCGGATGCTTATGAAAAACACCGAGCCACTCAAGAAATCGAGTTTGAGAAAAAGAAGGAACAAACACCAATAGATATCTTTCACCTGAAACAAGTTATGAGCGATATTTGTGGTACCGTGGCTTTAGTTCACAGCATCGCCAACAATACGCATAAGATTGACTTGAAAGAAGACGGGCTTTTGCAAAAATATTTGGATAACGCCAAGGGATTAGATTCAGCAGCGAAAGGAGCTCTGCTGGAGAATACGACAGCTCTTTTCAATGTCTACAAGGAGATTGTTGCTTCTGAAACTACCGGCGGCGGGCATGAAGAGGAACCCGTTAGCAACCACTTTGTAACCTTTGTCCACAAAGATGGAAAATTGTACGAGTTGGATGGACGCAAAACTATGCCTATCGGTCACGGACCTTCGACTCCCGAAACTCTGCTCGAGGATGCCGCTAAGGTCTGCCGTGAATTTATTGAAAGAGAGTCTGGCAATATTTGCTTCAATGTTGTCGCTCTTGTTCCGGCGGAGTGACGACTTGATTAATTTACTCATTATTAATGCTATAACCTTTCTGTTATTGTTAGGATTTATTAATTAATAAACGTTACAAGAATAGAAGTTGCACTTTATTCATGAAAAATAATACTTATGCGATATAATAAAACAATCGCGTAGCCATGACGTGACGAAGTTGCAGAGGGGCGTCACGCGAAGCCGCCGCGAGCTACTACGAAAAATGGTGTTCATTAATTCTGTTCATTAGAGGATACCAGAAAATTCAGTCAGCGTGCACCGCACGAACATCGATTTAAGTCTTTAATTCAAAATTAATCTCCTCGTTCTCAACAAATCGCCTCTCGATGTCCGATGCGCCCCACGTCTCAATTAAGAAATCCGCACAGAATTGCAACACGGCTCCTGCATTCCTCCTTAAAATTCTCTATCTTCGGAAACTAATTAAAAATTCGCCTCGCCTCCGTGGTCCGATGTTCAATCGGGTCGATATAACTTCATTTAAAAACGAGCAATCTTGTCGAAGATAAGGCTGGCGAGAAAACAACGAAGAGCAGAGCGCGCCACACGCGGTAACGTCGCGCCCTCACAAAAAGACAAACCAAAGAAAGAACTCCAAACTTTTAAATGGAACGCGAGAGAATTCACCGCGTTAACTATGTCGATACTGGGAAGGACGCGACATCGGTAAGTCACGTCACCAAATAAATGACGTCGGGTCTGAAATAAATATATAAATATTGTGTAAATAAATAAAATAATGCGACGGGGACCCGAAATGCTTTAAATATTCAAATGAAGCCAGCCGAGGTGAAATACGAAGGTGCGCTCGCTCGACTTGAGCCCAATTAAATCGGTGCCACTGAGGTAGAAATTAAAAACAAAAGGAGAATGACAGAGGTCCGGCGCGCATTTTTCTCATGAGTATTATTAGCGCGATGTCAACTCACAAAAAATGGAGTTAGAGGCTTGTCGTGCCCGCGATCATTATCGATAACATCCCCGCATTTTGTATTGTTTTGATAAGTGTGATGCTGCACCGAGGGGACATTTTGTTGACGTTTTACACAGCGCGAACACACGTGATCGATATGAAGGTAAGCAGGAGGGTAACCTCAGCTCTCGGTCACATTCCTTCTGTTATAAACTGGCCAGTAGGCTAAGTAACCAATAAGTTACTTAATCGAAAACTTTACTTTGTTGAAGGGGCGTCAATCAAGTGCTGACAAGTGCTTGTGATGGATACGCGATTGAAAAACAAGAGTGGAGGCAGCAGCACAAGCGGTCATTAGTCAGGCGAAGCGCGGCGTGAACGAAATTAATATTTGCCTATAAATCAATTACAACCGCATATGGAGACTATTTAGCACCTGCTATTCTTGTCTTGCGCTACGGATCTATTCGCCACTGCCACTGCCATTATTCGAATTACTAAAATAAGGTACTTCGCAAATAGTGGGTTTCAAAACTAGGGATTCTTATAAGGATATGTTTTGTTGTAATAAATATAGAGTAAGTTATATTACCTATTTGATTGTTATCTAATTTGAGCTTTCCCAATACTTATACAACTTATAGAAGAGTAATCATAGAAGTTAGATAGATTGGTGTATGTACAATGGGTTCGGATTCATTAACACCCGTCGCGACCTCTCGCGCATCCTCTCGATTTATCCAAACAAAACGCATTTATTCCACACAATGAGGATCTAAGTGCTTATTGGGAGACTCGTTTACAAAAACACGTCCAAACTAGTCCATACAATTCCAAGTAACTATAATAATGTCGAGTGTTGATGTTAATATCGACAAACACGGTAATAAACAGTCAATGTACGTTGTTCCCGTGCTTTACTGCGATTGTGTCGAAGATATATGGAACGAGTTGCGCGGCAGGGGTCCCGCTGCGGCCTACCGACGCTCATCGCTATTCAATAAGCTCCATTTATTGAAATTACATAATTTGTGTGTGAATAATGACGATTGTGATGAATCTTCGTGGGCGATGTGCCTTAAACCCGATTAACATTTGACCGTAGAGCGATATTAACAAGCTGTCTACGGGCGAGCGAGCTAATGACATGGAAATGGTCTCACGTTTAAGCGTCTAACAGCACCGATTCATTGATTTCTGACAGCGTTTATTTGAATGAATATTGAATGTTGTTCAGGATTAAGGATCTGGTATTGCGTTCGACTTTACGGGTCATTAGTTTTAGATATGCGTTTTGCACCCATTCAATACAATACAAATACAATACGAATGTTCTTTATTGCACACGGTCAAATACATAATAATACAAAAAAAGTAAAAATTACAGGTACAACTGGCGGGCTTATTGTTTACAGGAAAAAAAATAAGATAAAATTATTGAATTATATTATACAAATAATAATAATAATATTAAAATACTAAATTAATAACTAAATAAAAAAAATAATAAATAAATATAAAAATATACATAAATTACATAAGTCGATGATTGCATGAAACACGGTAACATTAACAATTTACACAAAATTTAAAACAGTAAGTAAGAATAGGAGAAAATAATAATAATAACAACACATATTTATTTGTACACGAGATATGGGATCTTCCCTTTTTTATATTAGGCTGCAGTACGGTTAGAGTGGACTTTTCTTGCCATAGAAACTCTGTATCGCGGGTGTCATGAACACATAATACATAAACAACCACAAATTACACCCAAACTCACGAGAGAAATAAATATAGGCCATACAATTATTTTACCCAGCCCGCGAATCGAACCTCTACGTGACGGACCAGCGTAGTAACCATTCGGCCACGGTGCAGTTGATTCAACATAAAACATTCAATGCATTACATTTTGTCAGTAACTTGCTGATACTTCTCAATGGAAAAATAGTAATTATTATTATTTAATTATATTGAAATATTTAAATTTACCGTGGCATACTCCATGAATGGGTTAATACTGTAGTAATAGTTCTTTGTATTAATATTAAATATCTTTCATTCGTATTTATTAAAATGTGTCCCGCGTCAAAAGACAAACTTATTAAAGGTACGTTACGTATTCGTATTTTAATTGTTGATTTATTATACAAGTCAGACTCAGTCGTGAAAACAAGCATTATAAACAATGAAAACAATGTTTATGAATAAAACATTATACTAGAATAAGCAATATGCGATTCCATACCTACATAATGTTAAAAATATGTGGCTGTAGAAAGTGGATGATATGTAGAAACAACGGCCGCGCAGCCTGACTCGATTACGAATTCCGAGAACTTGATTCTACTGTAGAGGTAAAGGTTACTTCTTGTTTAACGAAATTTGTTTTAAAAACAAATTATGTACGTATCTACATGCGTCTGATACCCCAAGTTTCCAGTTGTGTTGTATTATGTTATTGTTAATGTAAAAACTGTATGTTGATCTGTTTCATCTTTTTAACTCTCCGTCTTCAAATTCTTAGAACACGTACAAAGATTCCACTGCGTACATACTACACAATGTTGTTTATTACATAAGCCGTTGAGTTCTCTACATTTCATTCACAACTAGGCCTATCAAAACTTTGTTATCTCACTTCATGGAACAGCTAAAGTAATTTTGGTACTTTTGTCTTATAAAATAATTATAGATAATATTTTAGTATAAAAACCTCACAAATTTGTGGAATTATACCAACATATTTGCCAAGTTTCATGGAAATCGGTTAAGTGGATGAAATTCAATAAATTCAAATTCAAATAATCATTTATTCTATAGGTAAAATTTTCACACTTGAAAACGTCGTTTTTTAAGCCACTGCTAGTTCACTACGCTGACCTCCCTGAGAAGAACGAGCAAGAAACCCTAGGGATTACTCTTTTCAATTAAACTTAAATGCTATGGAATACACTTTGAATAATAATTGTGTGGAATCTAGACTCTTGTTATCTTTCCATACTTCTTTATCTAATACATACGCTTCAATTTTGTAATATGACTTTTCAATCCCTACATTTAATGTATATTTTAAACTTAGGACATGATAATTTTAATCTATTCTCCGGAATCTTATTGTAAAAACGTATACCGTGGTACGAGTACCATGAGTTTGAACTTAGTTCAATAGTTAATATTATGGATATCTTCTTTCTTAATGAAATTATGTATATTTTTACGGGTATACAAAATATTTGAGTAAATGTACTGTGATGCCACAGTCATGATACCAGTCTCCTTAAATTTTTCTCTGAGATAGACCCGAGAACCTAAACGGTACACAAAACGAATCGCTCGTTTTTGCAACACAAATATGGTTTGTATATCTGCCGCTTTACCCCACATGAGAATACCGTAGGACATTATGAAGTAACTAATGTAAACTAGTCTAGCAGTAGCAACATCAGTAAGGTCACATATTCTACGAACTGCGTATATAGCAGAGCTTAAACCGGATTCATCCTCATTAGAGGTAGGATATTTTCTTCTAATTGAATGGGATCACTATTGAGGTACTCCTTTTCCAACAAAAAATAATCATCGAAATCGGTTTACAAATGACAGAGTAATCGCGTAACACACATAAAAAGTACAGTCGAATTGAGAACCTCCTCCTTTTTAGAAGTCGGTTAATTAGTTAGATAGGTAAGCGTAACTAAAATTATGTATACGTTTTTTTACGTCTTTTATTGTTTCGTTTGTAATCTTTTCCTGAATTCTTGCTTGAAGAAATCGCAGAATTTATGTATTATATTAATTATATTCGTATAATAATCAATTATCTTTGCCAATAAGTTAATTTCTACTCATTTTATCTTAAACATTTTTACATTTACTTCGGCTATATTCACTTGTCTCCTTCATTATCCCGTCTCATTATTTCCAATACATTACGTAAAGTGATATTTTGAAAATTATTTCTTATTAGCTGTTATGAAGGTAGCAGCGATTTATTTAATTGATGTGGATTATTACCGGAGTAAATATTCATAAACTTTGGCTCGCTGTGACGGTCAGAGGACATAAAAGTACTGTGAATTCGGCAGCACCGCCTGCGGCGATGTGCCTTCGATTATTACGATCAAACAGTAGAGCTGAGAATACTTGGTTT